CCATAGGACGTCCTGAGGATATTCTTAGGGCATCATCTTCAGGACACCCTCAGGACGTCCTTCGAACATCTTCAAAACGTCATAGCCTCAGGACATTCTTGAGACAGCTTCAGGACATCGTGGGAATAGCCCCAGGACATCCTTGGGATAGTCTTAGGATATCCTTGTGGGACAATCTCAGAACGTCCTCAGAATGTCCTTCGAAAAACTTCGGTAAATATTTTTTATATACAAATAATGTATTATATATATATATATGTTATAAAACTATTTACAACTTAATATTTACATTAATTGAAAGAATCAGTTTTAAATATTTTAATGGAATGTACGTGTCCTTTTCTTTGATACTAACGTGATCATGCGCTAACAACAAAACATATTAAGTACATTTATATATACATTAATTAAGTTAGCTTTATTATCTAAAAATTAAGAGTGTTATATAAGAAATTTTATAGATAATGGGCATAACACAGAAGCCATCAGCGTCGGAGCTATGTGGCTCAATGGCAGGACGGAAGTCTACCAACTCAGAGGAGAGACTAGGTCTTGGTTCGAGACTCGGAGCGCCCTGATATTTTTCTCGTGTTGTTGATTATTTCTTACAATAATTTAGACACGTTTACCATTGGCCACCTATTCACAACGCTTGAACAATGGAAAATACTTTCTAGGCATCAGTTTCTGTTACGTCCTGAGCGCGAGTTTTCGGCGGTCTCGAGACGCGACACGAGTTCCCGAGAACGCGAGCGCGGAGCGGGGGCGCGCGGGGTGAAGCCTTGGCTTCGATGTGGTGTTTAGACGCGTGTCTTTATTATTATTACGGGCAGCTGTCACCAGTGCTCGGAATTGAGCACGATATTCGAGGATTATATATGTGATTTCACGAATTTACTAGATTTTAAAGGTAATTAGCCTTCCAGGTCCTTTCTCATAAAAATAAAATAGAGAGTTTAGAGGAAGCGTCAGTTAGGCTTCATCTCGCTGTCTCTCTATCTACACTCTCTTGTGTGATGAGATGGATTTGGAAGGAAATGAAATGGTTTTTAATAAGAATAGAACTATTTAAGACTGTAAGATTTTAATGTTAAGTGTACACGCTGTGTTGCTAATTACTCGAGGTTTGGAAGTAATAATGATTGGCCTAGTGGCCTTCCGCGTGGGTGCTACGTGCGGTGGAGATGGGGGCGGTTTTGGTCGCGGCGG